CTACCTCCCGTCGTGTCGTTCGGTCGACGTACTCTACGACACAACTAATATACTACACACACACACACACACACACACACACACGTGTGTGTGTGTGTGTGTGTGTATATGGCCATTTGTGTAATAAGTATACACATTGGTACTGCAGTGTGTATAAATCAATTCAGTTGCATTTGGAATGGTCCATTGTGGTATGCTTACTAAATTTGTACTGGATTTATATCTTAAATAAACATTCTGTGGAAGGGGAGATAAATGAGGCTTGGGAAGAAATGATCCCCTTTTCCTCCCGTGCAAAAAAAAAAAGACAAGTATAGAGACTTGTATATATTTTTTGAAGTCTAAAATAAGTAATGATTGTTGCATACTATTAATGAAAACTGTAATTATGTCTGTTATTGTTATTTTTAAAACAATAATGATATATTTATTTTATTGATTAATGTATAGTTAAGGACGTGCATGTATCATTACTATTAGATCTATGTATCATTAAAGTTATACTCTGGTGCGAAGAGTTGTACTTTCTTCTCTTTCCAAAAAACCTATATCTGCCCCTGCTGTGTGTGTGAATTTCTGTTTCATTATAACCTTAAGAAAAACCTGTTCAAGTATGTTGAAAGATAGTAAATTGTAACATATCTAAAATCAGAGAAGTAAATTTGCATGAGACAATTTTCAAGTGTTCTTTATTGTAATCTTGAGATTATAACATAAATATTTCTGTCTATAAAAAAACATCATTTCTGTTTACTGAAAAGTGTTACTAGTTATCAGAAACATAGGATTGACAGTATAAGTTTCATACTTGTTTGATAAAAATAAAATTAAGTTAAAAAGGTAATAACTTCTACATGTTATTAGTCTGTACCAATGTAATTACGTGTCACTATTTAATCAGAAATGATGTACTGACAGTACAAGATTACATGTTGAATATAATTTTTTAAATCTAAATATAAAAAATTGACATGTTATTGGTCTGTATCAGTGTAACTCTGTGTCACTAGTTAATCAGAAATGATGTATTGACAGTACAAGATTACATGTTTAATATAATTTTTTTTTATCTAAAAAACAACAACAAATGATGACACTTACATGTTATTGGTCCATAACAGTGTAAATTTATTTTGAATATTTCTTTGGCTAAAGGCTAAAATTATTATTTATATTTCACTTTGAAGTTAATGATAAAGTTCTGGAATTATCCATTATGGTATGCTCACTGGATTTATGGTTTAAGTAAATAATCTGTGAATGGGGTTCAAGGGGACACGATCCCCCTTTTTTTTAGAGCAATTAATTAAAATTTGTACAATGGTCATTAAAAAAGATAAAACATTTATTATGCATTTGTACAAGGCAAGTTTTAATTGGTGAGTAGGAGTTTTATTGACTTGCTCCAAAAAGAGTATTCATGTGTTTTTATTGTATGAAGCAAATGAACAAGTTTGGCTTGACTTGTATAAAGTGAACTGGTTGCTGTATGTCTGCTGTTGAATCATTGGTCAAGTAGAAACTGTTTTGTGTAATACTTCCTTTGTTGAAGTTCAAGTCTGTGAATGACTGTTACTAGCTGAGGTTGATATGTTGTGCTCTGTGAAGCATGTTTTGTTATATAATTAGTAAAGACAAGACAACTTCTTTGCAATTTTTGCCATCTTATGTTTAATCATAAATGTGCGTGTGTATGTTTGTTGGTTTCTATGTGAAAAACAGAAATGTTCTTAATTAAAATTTAATAACTATTTTGTGAAGCTGTATGTATGAAGACATCTTCGAATACTGTATCTTTAGATATGTTGGCATAAAATATAATTTGTATGAACAATTTAATCCCATAGAAATTTAATATCTAGTTATTCAGTCACAAATCAAATATTTTAATAAGCTATAGCTTAAAATGCCACAGGCTGTTTTAATGTCATAACACTTAACTGCTACACAATTTAATTGCACACAACAGTGTGTCTTGGGAAGCTTTCGTAAAACCACTTGTGTAGCAGTTTCAGTTATAAATTTATTATTTAGTTTTATTTTTTATAAATAGTGAAAATTGATAATGATTTTGACCACATTCTTGGTGTCTATTCATAAAAACTGTTAATATATATGTATTTCATACATTATGCTGATTAGTGTACCTAATCACTTTCATGTTAAGTTAAATGAGAGTTTAATACATTCTTGTAATACAAATATAAATGATTCTTATCATTAGTTTTGGGCTGTTGCATTACTTCTATAGTTGCCTTTTTAGCTGCTGCATAGGGGTTTGTAGAATGGCTCCGAGTTTTTCAAGTACAAACTTTTAGCTCATAGCTCCATCATTTCTTGACCGATTTTGAGATCTAATTACAGTTTTGGACTCGGGAGGTCAAACCCTTTTGATTAATGTATTTGGCCATGCCCAAGGTCTCGTATATTAATTTATACTAATTCTTCCTAAAAGAATTTCAATTTGAGGGTAGGCTGGTAGAGATCCTGGTGAGTAATAAAATCAAATCGGGTATATGCATGTCCCATGCTTGGTATTGGTGGAGCACAAAAATATAACTAATAAAAAGGAAAAAAAGTCTCTTAGGTTAATTTAATAATTACTTTTTTCCTATGGGGATTTCTCTGAATAATTTTCATGAATCAATGGATGAGGATTAATGGAATAGGTTCAAATAGGTTGGGGTTTGAACTAAGAACCTACTGCTTACATGTGTTCTAAGCCCACCAGCTGAACCATCAGGATTTTGGTCTGTACTACATAAATCTCAGTGTGACCATAATAGATTTAAGAAGATTGGGACTTGAACTCAGGACCTCCAGCTTGTATGTGTTCTGAGCACCACTGCTCTACCAATTGAACCATCAGGATTTTATTTTGTGGTAGATAAATCTCTAGTAGATTGGGACTTGAACTTAGGACTTCTAGCTTACAAGCATTTTAAAACCAGTGTTCTTCCAACCTGGTTATCAGGATTTTAGTCTCTAGCAGATAAATAAGTCTGATTTTTACACCGCCCCCCCCCCCCCCAATGGTATGGAGGCAAGTTTGCAAACTTATAATGCTAGAAACTGAGTTTTGATACCCAAGGTGAGCACATCATAGCCCATTATGTAGCTTTGTGCTTAACAACAAACTGACTTTAACAATAGACTTATACTTTGATATTTATTTGTAACATTTATGTTTATGGATGTTGTACAATAAAAGAGCCTTATGGAAATGCATGGTGAAATTGATTGATTGCAGGTGTTCATTAATTTTGGCAGAACCTAACCAAAGAGATAAAAATGTGTTTGATTTTTTTTAGTAATACTTGTTCATAAAACAAGCTATGTGCTAAAAATAAATGGTTGAGTTCTATACAATACTGTAGAACAGTGGTGCACAAACCATTTTATAGTGCCCCTTCGCACTCTGTATAACCTATTTGTGTATATGCTGCACAGGTCATTTTCCCATGTTAACTGTTCTTACTATATTACTTAATAGTAGTAATATATGTATGGTAACTTTTAAAACTTTTGTTTTTAAATTTATGTTTTCAGATATAATTTATATTCTCCTGTAGTCATAGTTGCCCACCCCTCCTAATGCTCTGTACTTCCTTGCCCCACAGCTTGTGTACCATTACTGTAGTAAAATGCAGTGTGATAGGAAATTGTGACAAATACAGGCATGAGTATTTTTTCTTCAGAATTGCACCATTTGTGATCACTCTCAGGAAAGAGGTTTTGTTATTTGTGTCAAACTGAAAAAAATTGGGGCGAGGGTGTAATTAGGTAGTTCATTTACCTGTCAGTCAATAAACAAAATAGGTGGGACAAATTTTGATCATGTAGTTCTTTCCATCCTCCTGATGTACCACACTTATGATTAGCCAATTGTCAGAATATCCAACCAACAACAAATGATTTTAGGTTAAGGTAGTTGAGTGTCTGTGAAATGAAATTTGAATGTCTGTTTTTTCAGCCTTTTTTTTCCACTTGCTCATTTTCATGCCTGCAGATAAACATAACATCACTATTTCTATACTTTTGGAAGGACAATGGACATTTTCCTGTTACTTGATGTTTTTCAGTAACTGATGAAGGGTATTCAAATTTTGCTTTCAGCTGCTTTTCAACATATACGAGACAATATTGAAGACTTGAATGGAAGAGTTGGGGCTTGTGACACTGACTTGATATTTCTGAAAGGACTTATGGATTCACCAGTCATGAGCTCCTTGATAAAGGTAAAGGTGTGCTACATAGGAATTTTATTCAGATATATAAACAAATAGAACTACATTTACAGGTATAAATATTTAGCAGGTTGCTGCATTGTTGTGTAAGTTTATACAATCTATTTCTAAAAGTTATGGCTATTGTACTCACTAATTATTTAATATACATATAGAACTACATTTACAGGTATAAATATTTAGCAGGTTGCTGCATTGTTGTGTAAGTTTATGCAATCTATTTCTAAAAGTTATGGCTATTGTACTAACTCATTATTTAAGAATGACTCTGCAATTTAAATCGGAAGCTGTTTTAAAATCAAGGTTATCTCGTAGGTTTTGGTGCTGAAATCTTTATTTGTTTAAAGATATAACACTTAGACTTCAAGGAATAAATCAATTTTATAAGGTCTACAATGTGGCATATAATAATTATTAACAAATAACTTAGATTTCAACCTTCAGTTGTTAATGATTTGGGAGAAATTTTGTGTTTTTATGATAAAATGAGTTTTTTTACAATGTTTTAAATCCAGAACCAAATAGATTTCTGTAGATGTAGGTTCTATTAGTGGCCACTGTAAGAGTAAAACATTTAAAGTAAAAATAAGTTAAGTGTATTGGTTAAATGTGTCACCTACAAGAGTATATAGTTTTTTACTATCAAATGTAATTAATGTGAAAAGATAATAGTTATATAATGCTCTCATTTGGAATGCTATCCAAAAATACATATCATTAACATTCCTATCAATTCGTAGCAAATTAACTAAGTCAGCATAGTTAAAGAATTTTATTTAAGATTAAGCTGGTTTGTTCTGAAACTGATATAGCAGCTACTGAGCATGCTTTATATAAATACTGAACTACATGAAATGGAGTTACTAAGCACTGTGTGGGTAAATTTCTCCAAGAGAAATTAAATAAATCTCATTTTTATATTATTTATTGATGTTTAGGTAAGGCTAAAATTTCTTCTGAGGGATAATTGAATTTTGTTCCTAAAGGTTTTGAAGTTCTAAGCATCTAATTTTTAAATGTTTGTGAAGTAACTACAGAAACAAAAATGAATTTTTTATTTTTAGTGATCTTGTGACTCGTTAATTTTTGAAAAACATAGTGCAGACTGGAGATATTTGAACATGTTAAGAGAAATGGGTATGACTTTTTTCACTCAAGTATTTTTTGTTTTGGTTCTCAACATTTTAATCATATAACTTAATACATATGTGTTTTTTGTATGATATTTATTTTATATAGTAGTAAATATGGTATCATAATTTTCAATTTCTTACAGGTACAAGACAGACTAGAAGAAAGTAATGGTGCTATCAAGCCAATGGGATCCAACACCTCAGAATTACTCCTCAACGTTAGGAGTATTTGCAGACATGGGGATAACAAGGTTGCTCAGGAGTTAGCAACAGTTCTTGAAAATCCTCACATTCAGGTGTGGATAGTACGAAGTTTTACACTAAAGTGCTTTGATAGGAATATTAAGCAGACACTAAAACTTGAGAGATTTTGGTGTTTACCTATTAGGGCAAAATCTCTGTCTCATTCAGAAATCATTCTTTTGTTTTTGTTTGATATTGATATGTACTATTTGGTTTTTAATATGATTACTTTTACTACCTAAAACAGAGAAATCTTACTATAAAGATGATCCATTGTGTGTGAGCATCCATTGTCTGGAGTTGGCTGGCTCGATTACTGTTTCTTTTTATTACTAGAATGCTGTCTGATGGTGTACATGGCTATTTTGTTTCAGGACATTTTCCTGAGGAGGGTGATTTAAAAAGAAAAAAGAGATACCTTGAAACAAGGCACATTTCCACTTTTTTTTATAGACTTTTTGGCTTTGAATTTAATGAAACAAGTACTTAAGTTATAAGAGTCAATTATTACCTTTCACAAAGCAGGGCATCTAATGATGTCATTAGGAATTTAATAAAGAAAAGATGGGGAATATTATCTAACATTGTCCTTTATATAGTTTTTGTTTCATTAATGTGTACCTTCAGCTAGAATGTTATAAAACCAAAATATTTAGCAATTTGAAAAATTCTTTATTACTTATTGAAGTGTAGGTGATTATTTTTTTGAAGATAAAGGATATTTATTCATGAGCATGCTGTTCAGGTTTAACTAATTTGCACTGAACACAAGCCAGTGATTTACTAAACTCACACTGGTGATGCACCGAACACAAGCCAGTGATTTACTTGACTCACACTGGTGATGCACCGAACACAAGCCAGTGATTTACTTGACTCACACTGGTGATGCACCGAACACAAGCCAGTGATTTACTAGACTCACACTGGTGATGCACCGAACACAAGCCAGTGATTTACTAGACTCCCACTGGTGATGCACTGAACACAAGCCAGTGATTTACTAAACATCAAACATGTTGAAAGAAAAGAATGAAATCACATTTTTCTTCTTATTGTTTAAAGTATTTCATTTTATTTATGTATACACTTTTAGCTTGTTTAATGCACATGCTATCTGTGTCTGACATTCCTCACTCTCTGGTGGTAGGCTATCTTACATCTTCAGATGGTGTATATTGGATTAATATTGATATACTGTGACTTAGCATATATAATGCTTGTTGCTGTTTATTTAAGCTGTTTTGCATTGCAACTTAAGAGAAAAAAATATCATAACTGATATATTAGGTATACCTAAGTTTTGCAAGTTAATGTAATTCTTACATTCTTTGAAAATTGTATGGAAGATGGAGTTTACAGATAGGAAATTAAATTATGTTTTAGGACAGGTGAGTTCTAGATATTTTTTTAGTAATGCGTATTGACAAAATAGGGTATGTGTGCATTGTAGGGCTCTTCCATGATGAAAAGTGAATATTTATGCTTCAGTCTTTAAGGGCAGATGTTTTTAATTACAGTGCCTTCATTTCATAAAATGTTGCACATTTGTTTTATAAGATATTACAATAAGCACCTTTGTTTCATAGTATAATAGGCACATTTGATATATAGCGTTATGGATATTCTGTATACTCGCCTGTTGTGTGTGTGCACTAGTTTCAACAGTTTTTTCTCTCTTAATCATGATAAAATTAAAAAAGTTTTTGAGGCATTATCCTTATATGTTTCTCATGTTTAATGTAATCAGTAAAAAGACATTAGAAATATTTAATGCTAATTCTACATACATGGAGAATTTTGTTTTTCCTTTATGCAGCTTATCCATGTAATAATGTGTATTGTTTCTTCTTTAGGCCTTATTAGAAGCCCATGATTTAGTTGCTATCAAACAGTACCAAATGCCTGAAATGTCGGACTCTCCATCTCCTGAACCCTCTCCAACTGGCACTTTAACAGGAGATGCTGTTCGAATGGTTGGAATTCGTAAAAATGATGACGAACCTCTGGTATAAAAAAACAACAACAGACATATTTATATATATATATATATATATATATATTATTAATTTTTCTTGTAAAAGTAAATGTATACAAGTTTGATATTTTCCAAATACTGGAGTAGTTTATTTTACATCACAAGTATTTAAATTGATTGGTTTGTTAGATATATATAAACTGATTTTGGCTCTTTAGAGTAACTTGTTTCATGTTTTCAAACTAAATTTACAGTTGTTAGTTAATTGTAGTAATTCTGGTACAGTGTTTATTCCTTAGTGTTTCAATGTGATAACAGTGAGAAAAGTGATTAATAGGAAACGATTTAGCTTTCATTGTGTACTTGAAAACAGATTACACAATTGGAAACCAATTTCTATATTATGAGACATTATGAGGTGATGATAATTAAACAAAAAGTTGCATAAACTTACTTTTGGATGTTTTGTAACTTAACTCTTTTTTTTGAATTATCTATGGATTCTCCTTTTTTTTTTCTTTGGAAAGTTAATAAACATTTCTGAAAAAAATTGAAATTTTAAGCTTTTCCCACTCAACTTGAGGTATTTGAAATAGTACTACAGATTTAATATGTCATTGTGTGTTGTGAAGCAACAAAATCTAGTCAAACTGGTCAAATCTAGTCAGTTATGATCTAAAAACCAGTAGTGGAGGCTGGGAAAAAAACATTCAGTTTTGTTTAGGTAACCCTGTTGTTGCTTTCGTTGTTGACGAGGAAAGTAATCAGCTATGTCTGAGATAATAATGCTTTGAACTTTTTATTTATGAAAAATACTGAAAAATAAAAACTTCATTATTGAATAAATAGAGTTGTTTAAACATTTGTTTAGCAACAAGTAAAGGCTTGGAATGGTCTGTTCTTTCATTGGGGTGTGTGTGTGTCTGTGAGCCAGACTAGTTTGGGAGAATTCCACTCATCATCAGTGACCCTGGACACTACCACCAATGAAATACCAAACCAAGCCTTTGTAGTAGTAAGGTATCGAATATCGAACTGGTGTATTTAAGTGTTTTACACTCACAAAAAAGAAACCTATTATTCTATAGGTATTTGAAGAACTTGTAGCATTTTGCCACAATTTAATTCTTCGTATTGTTAGCTGATACTGGGCAGTTTGTACGTAATTGAATAAATAGAGTTGTTTAAACATTTGTTAGTTAATTTACTTTATCTTTTGCTGTGGAGAGATGTCTCAACATTTTGTTTCAGCCTGGATTGAAGAATTAATTTTCTTCTTTTTAGTTGTTCTTTTGACACATTATCCTGTGCTTGTTCTAAATGTGTCGATGATTAAAGTTGGTTAATATTAATTATTCTAATTTTCAAGTTCCTTGGGTAAGAAGAGTTTCAGAAATTTATAAATATTATCATCAACATAGATGTGACAAAGAGAGATTAATGCACTAAAAATAATTTTTTTTTTTATTATCATTAATTTTTTTATTTGCTTTCAAAACAAAATAGTAAAACAACGTTTTATACTCAATTTTAGGGAATCACTGTTAAAAATGATGAAGAAAACTTAGTGATAGCCAGGATCCTAGCTGGTGGAATTATTGATAGACAAGGTGAGTAAGCTTAGCTGTAAAACATTGAACTGGTAAAATCATTTGGTTGCAGTGATTTTAACTTTTTTAAGCCATTTCTTCATATTAAGCAATGCCAATATTCAGAAGTTTATTATAAAAAGACAAATTAATAAATTTGTTTTGTGATAATTGTTCAAATTGATGCTTTTAATTAAATTTAAATATGTTGGAATATGTGTAAGTTTATTGTGTATAGAGCCATGGTGAATTTGTAATTAAAAAAAAAACGGGGAATTGGTGATAGTGCATGAATCAAACATTAAATTTTTGTCTCATTTGTGTAAGTAAGTTATATATTAATACCATTCTTTCATTAATGCTAGTTTCATTATCATTCTTGCTTAAAATAATTGATTTATATTTTGTTCTTTTTCCTTTATTTATTACATACATTTTTTACACAAGGAAGATTATTTTGTATTGAGGTTAATTTATAGATACAGAAGTAGCTTATATCACTCATTTAGTTGATTGAACTTCATGAACTACTATTGGGATTACAGCTGATAACATTAAGGGTGCCCAGTTGATGAATACAGACATTGTAATCATTATATAAGGTTTTATTTTATGACGTTGCATATCCATAGTTAGACTGTTCTATTAATTTGGCTACATTATTTATTGGGCTACCTTTTATTTCTGGTCTGTATAGATATCTTGCCTTGATCATAAGTTATTGATGGTATGTGTGTGTTGTACTTTAAGAATAAACGTGATGTACCGGTCATCCATATGCTGTGAACTTGAAAAATAATGATTGTATAATTACAGGTCTTTTACATGTGGGTGACATAATCATGGAGGTTAATGGTGTGGAGGTACACTCACCAGAACAGCTACAAAAACAACTACAGAGAGCATCTGGAAGTATCAACTTCAAAATCATGTCTGCATATCAGGATTCTATACCCTCTTCACATGTATGTTCTGTTTTATATTATGTTCTTTTACTAGTATATTCTGTCTATCTGCATCTGTTGTTTTGATTATGTCTGATAGATGGAATATCTCCAATGCTTTTGGGAGCTATAACTGCAGACATTTTCACTTTAAAATAATACGTTTTGTACTTTTGTTACAAACGGTATAATTTTACATTGTTACATCAGAACTTTGTTGGTGCATACATAAACTTGTAGGTTATAAATTACCACCTATCTATTGAAAAATAGAAAGCTCACAAAACTTCAAATCTATAAAACTGGCTAAGGTTTATATGGTATGTTTGTAATCTATAAGTAACAACTTATGTGAGATGTGGCATTTGGTTTTGAACCACACATTTACTTTATTTTCCATAGAATACACACATTTTTTGTCATTTATTTCCTTGTTGGCTAGTGACAGATGGAACTTTGAAAGGCATTAATTGTGAATGTCATACAGGGTTCCAGAAAGTTATTGATTGTAAAATTAATCTTTTATGTTGAACATGTGTCCTTTACAACTGCAACCATTTTTTTTTTCTTTATTTCTAATAACTGTTGAATGTTTTTTTTTTAAAGAAAATGTCATAAAAGTTTTAAGATAATTTGCTTCTTATAAACAGACTTGGATGATGATGATGTGCCATTTTTCTTTCAGTTCTATGTTAAAACGCTTTATTCATATGATCCCAGCAAAGACAGTTTGCTTCCATGTAAAGAGATAGGCCTATCTTTTAAACAAGGTGAAATACTGCAGATTCTGAATCAAGAAGATCCTAACTGGTGGCAGGTGAGAGCATGGATGTTTTGTCATAAAACATGTTGTGAAGATTGTAGATCATAACAATTGTGCCAATACCATGAACATTAATCCCCAGAAGAATACACAAAATGTTGAGTTTTGGTTTTACAGGATAAACACATCAAGTTTTTTTGTGCTTGATGTAAAACTGAGCCACTGTAATTGACAGTACACTGTAAGAGTTTTAATTTATTTTAATAACACCTACAGAAATTTTGTTGATAAAGACAAAATTAGAAGCATCACTTCTTCAGTCAATTCCAGTAAGTATACCCCCCCCCCTTATTTGTTTTCTAGTTTGTTTGGTAGTAGTGTTGTTTAATATATATACACACAATATGTTTTGGTAACTGTTCTTGTGCTAGCAGTAACATTTTGTCCCAAGTTTGTATTAGAAATCCTCTTTCAAACTTGCAAACTTCTGCAAGTTTTTACTTTTGACAGTTGTTTTTAGAGAGAATTTTCCACTGGGTATCAATTTGGTGCTTGGTAACAGAGAAAGAGTTTTTCATTTATTACAAGCTAACAGAATTATCTGTTGTGTATCAGTGTAGTGTTTGACAATATATATATATATAGATTTCTATTTTGTACTTGATCACAGAGAAAGGATGAGATTTCCATTCATCACATGGTAAGAGAGAATCTTCCATCTAGCTCCTGGTAATAGTTTTCCATCCAGTATTAGTGTGGTTCATGGTGATTGTTTTCCATTGAGTGTCAGTGTGGTGTTTGGTAATAGAGAGAGAGAGAGATTTCTATTTTGCACTTGATCACAGAGAAAGGATGAGATTTCCATCTTGCTCCTGGTAATAGAGTTTTCCATCCAGTATTAGTGTGGTTCATGGTGATTGTTTTCCATTGGCTGTCAGCGTGGTGTATTGTGATTAATATCTTGTATAAACCTTCATTCCAAACAGTATTTACTTAATGATAATAGTTTGCTTATTAATGATTTTTAGTTTCTTGATAGTGATATTGAAATATGCATACAGGATCAGTCATTTTGACTGAACTTTTAACCATGAAACAATACATACTATAACTTAGAATCTACTGAGTGTACCTTACAAAATTTAGCAAGCTTTCAGTAAACGTTTCAGACATTATATCACACACACACACACACACACACACACACACACACACACACACACACACACACACACACACACACACACACAACAAGTAAAGTTAGTTTATTTAGTTAGTTTTAATTTAGTAGTAGTTAGTTCGTGTAGTTATTAAACTTAACCTTAACTTACGTAGTACTACTAACTAACGT